TTCATTCTTAGCTGTTATTTTTTTTTTTGTCAAACTATCACAGTCATTTCTATAGGCAAAATTACAATTTTTTTTCCATCAAAATATATTTTAACTAAAGTGCCTTGGAATTGTAAAATTTGTATTTATTTTTCATTAGGTACTCAAAACACTTATAACATCATTCTTAGAAGCGCTATTCGTTCCCGAATATAGAAATAATCTTAAGAATCATTAGCACGTTATCCTAATCTTCAAATGCAAGTGGTGAAAAATATTTTTCTGTGTTCAAAGCATAGAAAACTATTTATAGATAAGGTATTAATATATTAGAGATAAGATATAAATAATAAGAGATTATATATGAGATATTAAAGATAAGAGATAAGAGATTAATTTCGATTCCATTCGTACTTGAGTATTGATTGCTAAATGTTATTTAAATTATTATGTTTTCACAACGAGCACAATTCGTAAATGAATGATTATATTTATTCAAAATAACTGACCAGGTGAATGATACCGATAAACCGATTTAGGCCGAATATTTAAAAACCATTAAAAAAACATTGGGACACAACATAAAATGAACATGTGAAACACAACAAATGAATTTATTTAAAACATGCACCCGTCCATACTTTCTTCCTCCCTGTCTCTTTAGTTTACTACTGCTCTCCCAGCTGTTTTGGCTTTGGCCACGCTAAATCCTAATCGCATCTCGTTTAATCTGTTTTGTACTTTGAGTTTCATACAATAAACATGTTCGAAGAATTATTTCCAAAACACTAAACTGCTATCGCTATCGGCTGATGCGCTGAATGTCGTTTGAAGCCATTATTTATAAATGCAGGTACATACATAGGATGTGTGTTTACAATGATCCATAGAGAGATTTACATAATATAAATACACACCTATAAAAAAACGGCGGTTGAGACATGGTGTCACGCCTTTTATATCCTAGCACCCTTTATTGATATATTTTTTCCTCCATATTTTCCTTGGCTATTCTTCTCGTTTTTCTCTCCCTCGAGCGATAAATTCTTTTTACCTTGCAAATCGCAACGTACAGTGTTTTTCCGCCTTAGACTTTTATTATGTTGTAAACTTCCTATTCCTAAGAGGTAGTAGCTGTCGCTTTATTATCTTCATTTGCGGTTCGATGGTTTACAGAAACTAAACCGACGTAAGACTCTTAAAGTGCATAAAAAAATAAATGCGGATTTGACCTATTTGATGAAATGATTTGTTCAATACAACATCATTGCCAATAATTACCAAGTCGCGAAGTCGGTGGAAAAAAAAAAAAGTCTGAAACGTAGGTTATTATAGTAGGCGTTTTGTAATGCCAAGGAGGGAAAGATGGAAACGATAAGGCTATTTGTTAATAAAAGCTGCAGGGGAGTTTTACCCTTCGCAATATTATTATTCTCGAGTTTCCTTACAAACATATTTAATACGATTTTACACATTGTATCATTTGTTATATTATTATTATAATACAAAAGAAATCTTTATTATTTTCATTACAACATTTTGCTTTTAATAGGCCTATGAGATAATATTTTTTTACTTTGTATTAAATAAAATAGGGATTTTTTTTTAGGAACTTTAGTAGCTTACATAAATATTTTATTGAAAAAACTGTTGTAATAACTATTGAGGAGGTTGGTGTGTAAGTGTAGTCTGTGGTGTGTGCACATTGGTAAATTCTGAATATACAACTGGGAAATGGGCCAGAACCTCTTCTCTCTTTTAAGTATCGGTAAAATCTGTGAAACGATGACGTTGGCAATATTAATCAACTTTGAGATAGAGGCGGTCAAAAACACTTTGGGTTTTAATCAACGGATCGGTTGTAGTGTTTTTAAAGCAAAACTCGAGCTCATAAATAAGATAACTATATCCGTGTAGTGGCGGGAGTCGTGTGCGGAATTACTTTTTACAGAAAAATCAATGGGAATCGTGTTTATTAAATCCAGAACGGCCAAGTCACGTATTACGAAAATATCCCCAGAGACAGCAAATAATTTAATTCTTTTTACAGGGTGTCATACACCGGGCAACTTGAGCACGGCCTATGGCCCAAGTTAGATATTGTTATTATTTTCATTGTTTGTTGTAATACATGTTGTAAACTGTATACAAAATTAGCTGTTTTGTTTCAAAGTAGTTACAGTGTCATCGAAAAGCGATTAAACAAAGCTCTTATAGATCATGGTTGACCGTTTAAAAACGGTAAACGGAAGATTGATAAGAAATTAGCTGATAAGTGATATTATAGTGATAAGAGCGGTGACTAGGATAAGGAGCGACAAGCCAATAAGATATGAGATGGTGAATGATGAGGAATGACAAGCTAATCAGATATGAGATAGTAGACATGAGAATGTGTGCAATCAGCTGTATTAACAGCAATGGATAATTTGTATTATCATTACAGTTAATAAAATATGATAAAATGTCCAAAACTTTTTAATTTTTTAGCTCAATAAAACACCATTCAGGTTCGATTTGTGATGTACCTATAGAGTTTCTAAAAAATGTCATCAATGTGAAAATTATACCTTCTCGCAGCTAGGCAAACAGCTTTTATGCTTTAAGAAACGGTATGGCGAACGTCTCTATTGCTTACAAATTACCTTTGCAACGCTGAATTCCAAAAAGCCTTTGGACTGTTTTTGATTACACATTGTCATGTAATCAAATGGTACTACCGTTCTGAATGGGTTCATCCAAACACCGTACAACGTTACACTGTGTGAAAATTGAATGAACAAAAAACCCTTCGGTATATGTGTATAAAAAAAAATATTGTTCAAAAACATGAAACATCTTTACTAATCAAAACACGTGTCTGGATAGTAGAAAAATAGAACATTTCATTTCGAGGAACAGCGCAAAGGGTACTTTTCGAAGATGTATCACGTTGTTTGATTAGATCAAACTAGTCAATTTTACACTTTCAATAAATCTTGTTTGCTTACAGTCGGATATATTACACATATGTGTTCAGAATAGGACGATCACGGTAGACAATGTGTTTTAGCCTTTTTTCGGTCGATTGATTTACCGTGCAATAACCGGAATATCGTTGAAGTTCTTGAAACTGTACTATTATTATAAAAATAATGTCAGAAGTTACACATAAAAAAAAAAAACATCATCACGTACAATACCATCATTTCGGGTGACTTCAGGTAATTTTGAACTCATAAATGACAATAAAAGACTGTTAACAGAGGCTGGAAATGGTCTTAATAAGTTTGCAAACAAAAAGAAGAAAGTTTTTTTAATTTTTTTGAAAAAAAAACATGTTTTTCGAACGTATTCCCAAAGATAAACCTTATAGAAATAAAATATTTTAGGTTAGGAATATTGTTTTGATTTAACCTATATAAATTAATTACAGTATATAATTTAGTTAATCGTAACAAAACCGTTGTCAAAAAAATTAAAACCGCAGCTTGATCGTTCGACATTTTGACGATAAAATGTTAACCACTTTTTTTTTATAAAAGTTTAATATAGTGTAAATAATACTTACTTTTAACTCTATTTGCTCCCAATACACTCCCGTGCTTGCTGAACACTAGCTGATCAATGATAACACTTTAAAAAAGACCACAGATATATTTATAGTAGACTAGATTGCTAAAACGTGACGCCAATAGAGACAATTGAAGTTACCGTATTCCGCCGTCTTAGTGGGAATTAAAACCTTATCACATGAAAATATGCTTATAACAATCGCACAAAAATGGCGGACGTCGACTTACATTCTTATCACTAGTTAGCAATCTAGTTTATTATATACGTATATACGTGTAACGGATTTTTTTATTGATCCGACAGTGTAGCCAACCGAGGAAAACGAAATATCCCTATTTGGTACAAAGTCACCCGAAATTACGGTACCCGTTGAATTAATAATATTGGAATGTAACCTAAAATGATTATAGTCTATTGTCAAGACGAATATTTTAAATGTCAGCACGATTTCATAAGTATTTTACTAACGTTTCTCGATTAGAACAATCCAATATAGACTTGTAATTTTCAAACTAACGCAATTTGTACAACTCGTTCATTACAAGCGGTGGGCTGATAATTTTGAAAGGGACGCTTCAAAGGCATTCGACCCCAACCGATCGGAATCGATTGTGCAATTATTTTCAACAGAAATATTTGGAACATTTCAAACGAGAATTATCATCTCAAACGTCCGTGCGAAAATACATGTTACCACTTTGCCAATTTGAAAGTCGAAAAAAAAACAGTTTGTCATCCAGTTTTTGAAATGAGATTTGCAGATCAAACGTTAGCGGAATAATCAAAGTTTTATTGGGGGGGGGGGGAAATGTATAAAACTAAATTGTTCTAAAACTTGTTGGGTAAACGAATTTTGGAAATGTATTCTAAAAAACGGTACACAATACTGTGACAGTAATTACATTTCAAGGCTTATTACGAGCAAAAAGTTTGGTTAATATAAAAGAAAAACGTAAACATGACTACTTGTGTTAAAAAAAAAAAAATATTATATTTTCAATTTTCAATTACTTTGCAAAACTTCACAACGCATCGACGTCATACAAAAGATTATATGAAGGTACTTTCATAATAATACTGCACATTCTTTAATAGTTTTTAATTACAAAATGTTTGGCAACCCTGTGAAAATATGAGAGTCACAAAAGACTTCATCGAAATTCCATTCTCTTGAACCGACGCGGAAGTGCTAAATTTTTGGATACCAGTTTTTTGTAACGAGACACGTTTTCTTAAAATTATATTATATCCAAATGTTAACAATTATTTACCGTCAAAAGAGTTGCTTGTTTCTGACTAGTAGTAATGTATATTATATATGAATTATAATTGTTCATTGCACACGCTTTGAATTTCTAAATATTTGGCGTACTTAAAATTCGGCGAAATTAAATTTGGATTGCTTAAAAATAACAAAACTCCGAGCGGTCGACTAAACAATATTGAAATTTTTAATTTTTACTTACTCAAGTAGTATGTGTTGATAACCGCCCACCAAATCAATAAAACCGTCATTTTGGTAGAACCTGAAACAGAAAAAAAACAAATTAAACATTTGTCAGGAGTTCGAACTCATATGCATCCATAACATATTAAACGAAGTAAAAATTCGGGACCACAGTTTTTCTTCAATTGCCAAAAAACTGCGTTTTTCGAAAATTTTGTAAATTTTTACATCCTAAAAAAATCGGTCATTACCACAAAAACAAAAAAGTGTTATAACTGTTGTGTGCATCTCAGAAGGACGGAAGAAACTGACACAGAATCCTAAATCCTAATTACAAAATTTCTTGAAAAATCTTGAAGATCTTGAAAAATTAAAAAATAATACACGATAATTAATATAATAATAATGATAAATACAATTTTAGATTTTATTTGAATATTTATTAATAAGGAATAGCAAACAAAATTTCTAATTTGACAAATAGGCACAAAATTATGAAATTTTCTTGTTTGAGCTTCGATGTGGAGAAAGTGTATTGTTTTTACAATGATGTGTTTTTTTTGTGTCTGGACCCTCATATCTCGTAAAGTGCAGAACCGATTTCTTCATGTAGCAACTCTATAGATCAGAAATCATATCTGAAAGGTACTTTATTGGGCCAAACATTTTAAAAAAAGTCACCACTTCCCCATCAAAATTTAGAAAAACACCCGAAAAATTTACTAATTTTTCAACTTACAAATTACGACGCTCTATAACTGTTTTAAAAATAATCGAAAAAGTTCCAAATTTATATGAATTGTTCTTCAAATATAGTACTATCGATAAACATATTAACAAATCAAAAAAATACCATAAACCCTTACCCCTAGCGAAGGGATAGAATTTTTTTCTTTATTTCACTTTTTCAAGCAGTCTTAGAGATTTAGATCTGAAAATTAGACCGAAGATAGACCTAAAATGAAACTATTACATATTATACGTGTTTCTCAAAAATCTGTAGTCAAATTTTTTTTTTATCAAGGAAAAACACTAAAAATATGGTAAATTTACACTTTGGCCGTAGTCAGTTTCTAGGTTGCTATGTGTGAGTGAATAGTCAAAACGGGTAATGAAAATATTTTCATTATATTTTTAAATACGTTATAATACCAGTACTCAGTATTATATTGTAATTAAAAGTAGCTCGAAGTACTGGCTTTTTATAAAATAAAAATACAGACTTTTTCTTAGAATTTTTTAAAAAATGTTTAATAATACAACGTCCTCGATAATTTTAAATATTTAATTTTAAACTTGATCTCAAGACATGGTCTTAACAGAGAGAGGGTCTTAAATCAATTTATTATTATGGCGAGGTCATAAAATAATTATGAAATCTTAAAACGGAAATACATTGGTAAACCAATCGATTAAACAATTATTTGCCTTGAAACAAATTAGATACATGTTTTTAATGAAACCGTATGGTACCCATTTTAGAGGTGCTCAAATCGAATTGCCCAGACAATAGGCAATTTCCAATTGCTTATGCAACGACCCATTACACTGTGTGCAATCTTGTTGTACCGACATCAAAGCACTTGGCTGAATAACATACAAGTTTTTCAATGCGTTTTCCAATCCAGATCAAAGGGTGTAGAATTATAATGTTTTTCCATTATACGACGTATAGGTAGTAAATAAAATATATATTATATGTATAATGTATATATATATATATATATATTATATTTTGTACACTCTCTGCCTACTTACTGTAACAATACAATAGAAGCTATACATTAACATATTGGCATTGCTGTTCGAATTGCTTCAGCCCCGGGTACTAGCTCTGGAAATATTTAAGTGTACAACCCCGTTGTAAACGTCAGAGGCGCTTTCGGATATTTCAATACATTTCCTCCGTTGCTATAATTATACTGGATTTCCAGTTAGACCAACGTTGAAAACGATTTTTTCCAAATCCGGTCAAGATGACACGATGTAGTAAATGTAAATGTCTTCCCTTGAACTGTGTACAAAAGCACAGTTACAAAGGGTTTTACATTAGGGTGGGTCCGGAGGGCTTAGAAAACCTCCCACAATATCATTGACAAAACAATGCATCCCATTAAAGTGGTTAAACGATATTTCTGGTGCCTTCGACCCCGTTTTACCATTATAACTCGTTGTTGTGCATGATAATATGTTAATTTGGAAATTTCGCGGGTTAAACACACCAGAATTGTATTCATTTTTCGCGAGTAAACAAATAAAGTAGTTGTAACTAATTTATTACAAAATACACTTAAACGCTCAAAGACTTGCCGGAGACTCGCGGTCACCAAATGTCATTTGGGGAAATATTCTTAAAAATATTCATTCGTAGTTTCATAGCTTCATAGTTTGGCTGGTTCGTAAGACATTAAATTATTACTTATACGTATGGTGATTTTTCTTTTGTAGGAAAGTACTCTTTTTTTCTTTTTTTTTTGTATAGCCATTTATCAGAAATTGCATAATATGTTTTCAGTGTGTTATGTTTCAAAGCAATTCGATCAGTGACGACCGATGGGTTTCGTGTGGTTTTTTTTAATAACAAGACGAAGTGCCATTATCGATGAAAAAAATAATAATCTAATTAATACTCTCCATTCCGTGGATATGTTATCTCTAATCATTTATCACTTTTCTCTTATCACTGTTCTCTTATCACGTCAATTGTTATCATCACAAATAAAATGACAGCGTGTAAGAGGATATCAGTTTTGCTATTACTATATATGTTTTACTGTGTACTTGTATATTCGACTTTGATCCGACCCAATAACACGCAGCCGTGTTAGTATAATATTTTAAAACCAACGACGGGGTTGTATATACAATACGGTTTTGTTTCTGCACACGCGTTGAGCACGTAATCGGTCGACGAAGGATCCTCGTGTGTATCGTTTATCCAACCGCGAAAGCCACTGACACCAGTCAGCAGCAATCGCTGTAATTATACGGCCAAGCTCTCTCTCTCTCTCTATCTCAGAGGTCTATCGACCCTAACCCATTTCACCTGACACTGTGTTATAATACCATCCCGTTCGAACAGCACGTAGGTAATCGACTTCGCCAGACGGTCGTTGGTTTGCCGCCGTTTGTTTTTCACGTGGATCTCAATACCCGTTGCCCGTAGAATATCAATTGCCTACATACTGCATGTGACACGTGGCTATTTAACCTGATCGGTTGATGTTGATGAAGGGTGTTTCCCTCGCATTCGGTCCGGACGGAACTCAATGCGACTCACAAGCGTTAAAGGGAATCATTCGGGCTATTAGGCAGGTACAAGTCATTGCAAACACAACCGTAAACAAGCACCGTTGCCCTCCGAATTCAACGAGTTTTAAGTAAAATCTACAATTAATATAATCAGTGCCACGAGAGTGCGCTCATGCTCGGAAACCAACAATCGTTGCTCTAGTATGCGCATGCGCGTGCGCATCCAGGAGTAACGCGTTTTGGTTTCTGCGCAGGTGCGTTCTCTCAAAGCACAGAGTATAGACTCGACTGGGGTAACAAAACGGTGTTCTAAACGAAACTTGCAATGATGTAACTTACTACTACTTGCTTTATAACCCTATCTCTTTGGGTCCTTTCCTTTTTTGAAAATTTCACAAAAAAGTACCAAAAAAACACTCATACATTTACATACCTCTATGGGTTCACCTTATTATTCAGACTTCGAGTCCTAAACCCAACCTAACTGTTGGCCCACAAAATCCTCTTTCTTGTAAGATTTCTAATGAATACGGTTGTTGCACAAAAAAACAACACCTTCTTAGCTTCGCATCGGAGCGTTTTTTTTTTTTGTTAGCCACTTTTTCTAGGTTAACATGTCTGAAGAGATAATGCATTCGCGACCACATGGATATTGTCGGAATGAGCAAAATGAAAAAGTAGAACAAAAAAAAAACACACAATAGAAATTCGACTCACTGTTAATATGGCGAAGGTCTAGACGAGCAAAGGATATGGACTATACTCTTGGCGCCATTGCTTTTAAACAGTACAACAAAATATGGTAAAACCCAGTAAAATTGTCCACAATGTAAAATGGACCAAAATGGAAAATATAAAATTCCTGTTCACCTTTGGCAAATCAAAAGCAAGCAAAAGTTCAGTTTTGGGCACCTAACCTTTCCACGCGGTAAAATCAAAAACAACATGCGTCGAGCAGACTAATTGTAAGTAAAACACTTAGTTAAATAGAAATCGACAAATAGGTAGTTAATTTTAAACATAACTATAGTTAGGGTAACATTTGAACTCAAAAATATTTGTATATATGCTTAGCAAAAGGTCGAGTAATCAAATTTTGGGTATTATTCGAATATTTCTTTTTTTTTTTTAATGTTTTATTTTATAGAAATTTATATTTAACAAAAAAAACCAAGTCGTTGTCGTTCTTGTACAGGTTTTGACTGAAATATATATATATATATATATCATTAAACATTATATAATAATATTAAAACTATATCACTGAAAGTGTGTAATTAACGTTGATACGTACATAATGAGTTGGTTTATGCGCTAAAATATATTCAAAATAATTAATTGAAGTTTTTTATTTGCGACGAAGATATTTCGACAAACATTTTGGGTATATTTTTTGAATTTTCACCTGTATTTTATGCGCGTTAAATTCATTTTTAATATTATTATTCAACGGTGTAGTGGCCAAGGTGGGACACAACGTGTGTGTGTTTGGTTCAATGCCGGAGGGAGGACAGTGCAATTACAGAAATTAATTAACACCCCCCCCCCCCGTTTTTGTCCCCTTCATCGACCCGGCCCGGTAAAACTACCCAATAAACGCACAAAACACACAACAACAGCCTTCGGGTTGATTTGAATTATTCCAATTCGATTGTTTATCTCTTTTTTATCATTAATTTGTATTTTTTTGCCACCCTCGTCCCTTTGACACAACACTGCATAAATGCAAACCAACAATATTTGTCAATACCATTGTTGTTGTACTACCCACTACAACACGGACACTCGATCGACAACCGTTTTTGTACCTTTAATCCTTTTAATCAC